TTTGGGGGGGGGGGGGTTTATTAGGGGAAAAAAACCCTGACAACCTCTACCCCCAACCATATGCTTGCATACCTCTTGCACAGCCAGACTTTTCCAGTCTTTACCGTCATCCAGTCCAAAAACTTCTATGGTGCTGACTGTGTCTTCACTGTGAACCCCAAAAGATCTGAATGGCGCCATACTCCCAGTGTAAATCACTGGATGGACGCTATAACCCAACATCTAACCCATGAAACACTCTATTGGTGCCCACAACAGTCTAAAGTGTATCCACAGCAAGAACACAAACTTAATTGTGGAATCAAATCACCAATAAAATAGATACAGCTTACTCGTTTCAGCCCAAAAGGGCCTTAGTCATAGCTATAACTAAGGCCTTTACAGGCTGAAACACGTAAGCAGTACCTGTTTTTATGGGTGACTGTTCAATGATGTTTATCTTTGTGGATCATTTCGAATGCTGTTTTAAAACCATATTCCTAATGTACCTGGGTGGGGGTGCCTTGGTTCATTTAGGGTTATGGGCTAGAGAAGATTTTTTTTTACATTATTTTTATTAGGAGTAAACTTGTCATTTAACCCCTTCCCGACTTATGACGGGATTAATCCGTCACAATCATTCAGTTCATTAACGACCGGTGATGGAATAATCCCGTCATGCGGTGCAATAAGCGCTGGTCCATGAAGGGACCAGCACTCATTGAGTTACTGCTGTTGCTGGGTCCCGTGGGGTCCAAGGCAGACCCGTAACAGCAGATTAGATAGTTCCAGCCCTCTGATCACAGTGATAAGTAATCGCTCTGATTACAGAGCCATGACAGCCACAGAGCCGGCAGCAGCTCACGGTATTGGGCAGCTGCGAGCCGGCTGTGTGTTACAAACTGATACAAAGTATATACTGTGTTCTCTTCAGAGATACTAAGTATCAAAGCCCCTGTGAGTTAAAAAAAAAACCCTTAATGCCACCTATTATTAAAAAATGAATAAAATGTAAAAATAAAGTTTTTAAAATAAAAAAATAAATAAAAATAAGTTTAAAAAAAATGTTTAATAAAAAAACATGCTGTGGAAACAAACATACCACATTCTAAAATGGTTCCACACTAAAATTGTATTTCACACCTTGTATTTTGTGACCTATAACTCCCAAAATTACCTGAAATCCCAGACATATGATGGAAAAAAGAATTTATATATGCATATGTCACATCAAATTAACCACTTGATGACCGGGTGTTATCCCCCCTTCCTGTCCAGCCCATTTTTCAGTATTCAGCGCTGAGGTACTTTGACATTTTTCCCGTCATGCAACGCTGTACTGAAATTAATTTTATACCAATTTTTTTGGGACCGATAGCGCTTTCTTTTGGTGGTATTTAATCACCACTGGGGTTTTTTATTTTTTTATTATATAATGGGGAGGGGGGGCGCGCACACCCGCAGCTACTACAAGCGATCGGGTGTCTCTAGAGATGTTAAATGTTTACATTTCTAATAGTTTCTCCACTCGTGTGGGGAGCGCCGCAAATGAGCGGGGGGAGGGGCAGGGCGGCTTAAGACGCCCTCCCACTCCTAATAAGGCTTCCGTCCGCCCGTTCAGGAACGGCCATGGACGGCAAGTGGTTAAAG